CGCCGGCATCTCCAGGCACTACAATCAAGCCTACCCCAGCTCAGAGCCTCCCTCTCCCAGACCTGCAAAGGACCTCTCCTGTTTTTTATTCTACGTAGGATCCACAACCTGAACTCCCAATTCTACTCAGCTTTATTGGACACTAAAAACCGTAAGTACAGTAAACTTACTGGTGCCTACCACCCAAAACGGGCTTCCTCCACCCCCCAAATCCCCAGCCGTACCCAGGACCTTCCCCACAATGGGTCCGCCGCCATTGGCCATGAGGCCACTATCGGAGAACCCACAGATGACGTCACATCTGCCACCGCCAGGTTCCCCACTTCCGGGACAGCAAGCACCATCGCTGCCGTTGCCACCGACACTGAAGTCGCGACCACCCTCACCGCTACTGCCGCCGCCTACCCCGCTCCTCCTACCTCCGACGCCGGTCCGCCCATCACCGACGCGGACGCAACTCCGCCCACCGCCGACACCGGCACAACTCCGCCCACCGACGACGACGCTCCGCCCACAGCCGACGCCGACACAGCTCCGCCCACAGCCGACGCCGACACAGCCAGCAGCTCCAGAGGAGACAGCAGCACCCAGCCCTGCCGAGTCTTCACCATCCCCCCAGACCTACCCCTTACTGAGGACGAACGGTCAGTCCTCAGTAAAGGGCTCACCTTTGTCCCCCTCCACCCACAGATCAACGAATACCGCTCACGCTTGGACATAGAGCAGTTTTTCCGCCGCCTCCGCCTCCACGCTTACTTCTTTAACCGTGAACCTAACCCTCCCTCTACTGACCCCTTCTCCCGCTTCCAACACACCCCCTCCTCCTGGACACCACCCCAAGGCCTCCTACCCTCCCTCGACCTCTTCATCTCCAACTGCCGTCGAGACATCAATCGCCTCAACCTCTCCACCCCTCTCACCCACTCCAACCTCTCCCCCGCAGAACGTGCAGCCCTCCGCTCCCTCCGCTCCAATCCCAACCTCACCATAAAACCCGCGGACAAGGGAGGTGCAGTTGTAGTATGGCGCACTGACCTCTACATCGCCGAGGCCGGACGCCAACTCTCCGACACCTCCTCCTACCGCCCCCTTGATCATGACCCCACCCCTGAGCACCAAACCATCATCTCGCAAACCATCCACAACCTCATCACCTCAGGTGACCTCCCACCCACGGCCTCCAACCTCATCGTTCCCCAACCTCGCACTGCCCGCTTCTATCTCCTTCCCAAAATCCACAAACCTGAATGCCCTGGTCGACCCATTGTCTCCACCTGCTCCTGCCCCAACGAACTGATCTCCAACTATCTCGACTCCATTTTCTCCCCCTTGGTCCAGGAACTCCCTACCTATGTCCGTGACACCACCCACGCCCTCCACCTCCTCCAGAACTTCCAATTCCCCGGTCCCCAACACCTCATCTTTACCATGGACGTCCAGTCCCTCTACACCTGCATTCCCCATGCAGATGGCCTTAAGGCCCTCCGCTTCTTCCTGTCCCGCAGGCCCGACCAGTCCCCCTCCACTGACACCCTCATCCGCTTAGCCGAACTCGTCCTCACACTCAACAACTTCTCTTTCAATTCCTCCCACTTCCTACAGACAAAGGGGGTAGCCATGGGTACCCGCATGGGCCCAAGCTACGCCTGCCTCTTTGTAGGTTACGTGGAACAATCCCTCTTCCGTACCTACACCGGCCCTAAACCCCACCTCTTCCTCCGTTACATTGATGACTGTATCGGTGCCGCCTCGTGCTCCCACGAGGAGCTCGAACAGTTCGTACACTTCACTAACACCTTCCACCCCAACCTTAAATTTACCTGGACCATCTCGAACACCTCTCTCCCCTTCCTGGACCTCTGTGTCTCCATATCGGGCAACCACCTCGAAACCGATATTCATTTCAAGCCCACCGACTCCCACAGCTACCTAGAATACTCCTCCTCCCACCCACCTTCCTGCAAAAATGCTATCCCCTATTCCCAATTCCTTCGCCTCCACCGCATCTGCTCCCAGGATGAGGCATTCCACTCCCGTACATCTCAGTTGTCCTCGTTTTTCAAGGACCGTAACTTCCCCTCCTCGGTGGTCGAGAACGCCCTCAACCGTGTCTCCCACATCTCCCGCACCTCATCCCTCACACCCCGTCCACGCAATAAAAACCAAAAAAGAATCCCCCTCGTCCTCACGTACCACCCCACCAACCTCCGGATCCAACGCATCATCCTCCGACACTTCCGCCATCTGCAATCCGACCCCACCACCAAAGACATCTTTCCCTCCCCACCTTTATCTGCTTTCCGGAGGGACAACTCTCTCCGTGACTCCCTTGTCCGCTCCACACTCCCCTCCAGCTCCACCACACCCGGCACTTTTCCCTGCAACCGCAGGAAGTGCTACACCTGCCCCCATACCTCCTCCCTCACCCCCATCCCAGGCCCCAAGAAGACTTTCCACATCAAGCAGATGTTCACCTGCACATCTGCCAATGTGGTATACTGCATCCGCTGTACCCGGTGTGGCTTCCTCTACATCGGGGAAACCAAGCGGAGACTCGGGGACCGCTTTGCAGAACACTTACGCTCGGTTCGCAACAAACAACTGCACCTCCCAGTCGCGAACCATTTCAACTCCCCCTCCCATTCCTCAGACGACATGTCCATCCTGGGCTTCCTGCAGTGCCACAACGATGCCACCCGAAGGTTGCAGGAACAGCAACTCATATTCCGCTTGGGAACCCTGCACCCCAATGGTATCAATGTGGATTTCACAAGTTTCAAAATCTCCCCTCCCCCCACCGCATCCCAAAACCAGTCCAGCTCGTCCCTGCCTCCCTAACCTGTTCTTCCTCCCACCTATCCCCTCCTCCCACCTCAAGCCGCACCTCCATCTCCTACCGACCAACCTCATCCCGCCCCCTTGACCTGTCCGTCCTCCCTGGACTGACCTATCCCCTTCCTAACTCCCTACCTACACTCACCTTTCCTGGCCCCATCCCCGCCTCTTCGACCTGTTTGTTTCCTCTCCACCTATCCTCTCCTCTATCCGCCTCCCACTCTCTCCCTATTTATTTCAAAACCCCCTTCCCCTCCCCCTTTTCTGATGAAGGGTCTAGGCCCAAAACGTCAGCCTCTCTGCTCCTATGATGCTGCTTGGCCTGCTGTGTTCATCCAGCCCTGCACCTTGTTGTCCTGGTAGTTACTACCAGTATGCAGACTTGAGACAACAGAGAAAAAAAAAAGTCCCACTAGACCTAAATTGAGTAAGAGAACTTACAGGCCAGTATCCATGAGTGTGCACACCCTGGAAAGTTCATCTACATCTGGTTTGGAACAATTAAATTGCTTAGCAATATCCAAATGAGAACAAGTAAATTAAACATCTGGTTAAATCGTCACCCATGTCGAATGGAGGTTGATACCGGACGTGTTAGTGATTACAGAACCCATCTTTAACAAAATTCGCTCTGCATTCCAACCCTTAAGTTTGCATAAGGCCTCGGCTAGACCGAGAACCTAAAGCAGAGATCCTTCAGAGACTAAAGATACAAGTTCGGTTCTAGTCTGTTATGAGAAGCAGCTTATTCAGTTACCATTGATTGTTGCAAAAGGCTTGGGCCCAAGCCTGATGGGGCGAAATTGGTTGAGAAAGATTCAACTAGACTGGCTCAAAGCCATTTTCTAATCGCTAAGTTGTCTCCTTAATAAATACCTGGAAGATTTTCAGGAAGGTCTAGGCACTATCAGCGGAGCCAGGCCATCTTGCTTGTTGACCAGGAAGCAATTTCATGATTCCGCAAGGTATCTACGTGCATGCGTCAGTGTGCAAGTGTGTAACAGCATCAGGAACTCCAATGCCAGACACAGGACTCCACTAAGCAAAACAGACAGTTTACTCAAGGGGATGACGTTCGGTGTAGGAATCACGGGAATGACCCTGCATGGGTAACAGGCATAAGCTCTTCATCTTACAAGCTTTACATCTTAGATATAGAACTGGCTTGAAGGTAGAAGACAGAGGGCGGTGATGGGAGGGTTGCTTTTCAGACTGGAGGCTTGTGACGAGTTGGACGTATGGTCTATTTCAGTGCTAAAAATCTCAATGTCTCTGTGACTCTGTCCAAATTTTTTTTTTTCACCATTTGACTGGTATGTCCTTTGTTACTATGATCTGCCTGTGCTGCTTGCAAACAAAGGTTTTCACTGTACTTAGGTACATGTGACAATAAATCAAAATGAATCAATCAATCACTGACAAGATACAAGGCAGTAATGCGATGGAATACTTTTAACTTGCCTGGATTATTGATGCTCCAACAATACTCACGAAGCTCAATACCATCCAGGACAAAATAGCCAACTTGACTGGAACCAACCATTCACTCCCTCTACTACCGATGCTCAGTAGCAGCATTGTATTACCAGCTAATAAAATGCACCGCAGGAAATCACTTACATTCCTTGAAGAACATCTTCCAAACTCATGATCCCTACCATATAGAAGGACAAGGGCAGTAGAGACACGGAAACACCACCATTTGTAAATTTTCCTCCTAGCCACTCACCTTCCTGACTTAGAAATATATTACTGCTTCTTCAGAGTTATTGGGTTAAAATCCTGGAATTCCCTTCCTCACAGCCCTACAACACAGGGACTGCAGTGTTTCAAGAAGGCAGCTCACCTCCACCCTCATAAGGGCAACTAGGGATGGGCAATAAATGCCGCCCAGAGAGTGACACCTACATCCCATGAATGAACCACACACAAAAATAAACTCCCCCCATTTCTTTCTTCATACACGTGTCAATAGTGGCTAGTTTGTTTCTGCTTTGTAGTGCGATACATTGTAGTGGAGCTCTACTGATCTAATACTGACTCTACCCTAGTAACAATCACAACTTGTCATTGGTAAAATCAGTAGCAGTGGTTTAACTACTATAACCAATGGTAACTAGTAATTAACAGTCACTGGTCATATTAAGAGCCGATGCCGTTCTTACCTGGTACTCCGGGTCTTCGCCCCATTTCCACTTGTCCCCAGTACTAGGAGCGGCTTTATCTGCTCCTGCTCCTGCTCCTGCTCCGGCCGGGCCCCGGGCTCCGTACGAGCGGCCGCTCAGAGTGTCCACCTCGGCCAACATACCTTTCTGGATCATGAGCAACAGTCCGCCCGATGCCACGATCACACCGAAAGTCAACATGGTCGGCAGCAGCACCGCTCTACGAGCGGCCCGAGCCACCGTCAGGCTACCCATGGCGCCAGATCGGCTCGCACCGGCCGTTCCCGTGGCCCAGCCCGGCCCCCGGTCCGCCCCGCTCCCCGTCGCCAGCCGCAATCTCCAATACACATGCGCAGCGCCACCCGCTCAGCATGTTGGGATTTGTAGTTCTCCTTACCCATCAAACTCACCACTGCGCATGTGCCGGATTCGTCAGCACCTGATGAGACCAAGCTCCTATCACCGGTTCAGTTACAGATGCAGAATTTTTTTAGTCTTGCTCATTCAGGTTGAAACATTCTTGGAGATCTGATCATATCACCTACACTGCAATAGTGCATACGCTTCTACAATATCTTGGAGGTCATTGAAGATGCAACAGCAGAGTTGATAAAGAGATAATAGTAGATGTAATTTATTCAGATTTCCAGAAGGGGTTTGATAATATGCAGCATAAAAGATTGATGCACTAGACTTGGTGTAGGTAGAGGATTGGCTAAGTTAGAAACAAAAGATGGAATCTTTCAGGAACAAAAACAGAAGTTGCTGGAAAAGCTCAGCAGATCTGGCAGCATCTCCGAAGAAAAATTCAGTTAAAATTTCAGGTCCGGTGACCCTTCCTCAGAACTGTTCTGAGGTTCTGAGAAAGGGTCGCCAGACCTAAAACGTTAACTCTGATTTTTTCTCCACAGATGCTGCCAGACCTGCTGAGCTACTCCAGCAACTTCTGTTTTTGTTTCTTATTTACAGCATCCGCAGTTCTTTCGGTGGAATTTTTCAGTCCTGGTGGAGAGAAGGAGAATTGTGAACAGCTGAACAAAATTAATTGAGTCCAAAATTCAAATTCTCACCAGCAGGATAAAGTTTTGCAATTAAGATCTCCGAACTCAAAAAGCGAGTTGAACCTCCCAACTGCAGCTACTAGACTAAAAACATCAATTCTGTTTTTCCTCTCTTCACAGATGCTACCAGACCTGCTCCATGTTCTCTGTATTTGTTTCTAACTTAGGGTGCCAGGAAGCTTATCGACTGGCATTAGCATTTCATTAGAATCACATCTCACTGGAATTCAGTTGTTGATTCCAATTAACTTCTACCAAATTGAGAAATGCATCTCTTCTGAAACACATAAACATGTGCACTTGGTGACTTTCACTTCTTCCTGGGCTTCAGAATAAGTGCTTGCTGCTTTGAACTTACGGTGGTATAATTTACAATAATGTTTACATTGAGTTTCAATGTAACCATGGACCAAGTTGAAAGGGGAGGTGGTTGCTGTGTCTGTGGGCAGATTAAAGTGCAAATAGTAAAAGTGGAGGAGGATGTTTGTGGCTGAGGGGCAGGCTAAAGCACAAATGGGAAAGCAGAGGTAGAATTGATGGATATTGTATATCCAGGGGTAGAAGAGTGGACCATGCAGCAATTTCTGTCCTGTCCTGAGACATTTGGGTACAAAATTGAAGAGACAGTGTCACAGGGTGATGGATGTTTAGGCTGTGGTCTTTGTTGTGGGAATCTCATTTGCAGAGGTATGTCTGATGGTACTGAGTGATGGGGGGTATACTCACAGTTATGGTTGGGAATTGGATCTGGCTAGGTGGGAGTTGGTAGATCTGGGTCTACAAGCATAGTGCTATGGTGCAAGTTGTCTCTGATGGAGGGGGATGAGAGAGTCAGGAGATGCATTGCTACCTTGTTATGCATTCAGAGGGCAAAATGAGGAAATTAACAGCCACACAGAATCAGCTGATATGATTAGAGGTTCCAGGGTGACACGGGAGGTTCCAATACAAAAATAACAACTCTTTGAAAAGGACTCCAAAGCAGTACACTGTACTCTGGTGTGGTTGCTCTAATCTGCTGTACATTTGGAGCAAGACTCCCCTACTTTTAAATTCGATTCACCTATAATAAAAACTGATTTTTTTTTTCCTAATTGGTTGCTATACCTTCCTGATTCCTGAAACCTAAATTGAGCATCTGTAATTGGGTTATTGGTCATTAAGTGCTGCTTGGTAGCACTGTTGATGACACCTTCCATAATTTTACTGATGATCAAAAGTAGTCCAGGTTTGATGTGTCCTTTATTAGGATATACCTAAATAATTTTCCACATTGCTGGGTAAGATGTGAATGTTTCAACTGTATTGGAACTGCTTAGCCAGAGATGGTAGGAACTGCAGATGCTGGAGAATCTGAGATAATAAGGTGTAGAGCTGGATGAACACAGCAGGCCAAGCAGCATCAGAGGAGCAGGAAAGCTTGTTTCACGGCCAAAGAGATTACGAGTGAGTTGCAGTGGGAGAGAGATCCACTGAGGTTTTTCCGGAGGGAGGAGGGTAACTTCTTCAAGGTAGGCATCCTTAGAAGAGGCTTCACAGTGGGGTTAAAATTGTTTCAGAGGTAGTAGGAACTGCTTTCCTGCTCCTCTGATGCTGCTTGGCCTGCTGTGTTCATCCAGCTCTACACCTTGTTATCTTAGCCAGAGATGGTGCTGGTTCGGGAACACAAAACTTCAGCCCTGTTGTCTTTGTAGTATCCTGTTCCACTAAATATTTCTTGATATTACATACAGTGAATCAGATTGGCCAAAGAGTGGCATCAGTAATTTTAGGGATCTCAGGAGAAGGCACATTAAGAGGGATCATCCACTCAGAATGTCTGACTGAATATGCTTGCAAATGCTTCATCCTTGTCTTTTGCACTGGTGTGTACTCCCTCATCATTGTGGACATGGAAATATGAGTTGTTTGATTGTCCACCACCATTCATGACTGGATGTGGCAGGATTGCAGAACTTAGATCTGATGTTTTTGTGGAATCACTTATGTCAACATGGTACTTCCATTGCTTGACATGGAAATAGTCCTGTATTGTAGCTTCTCCAAGTGACTCCTCATTTCTAGGCTAGTCTGTTGCTGTTTTTGAAATGTCTTCTTGCTTTTCACAAAGAAACAAGGTTTTCTACCCAGCTTAATGGTAATGGTACACTGCAGGATATGCTGGGTTGTTGTTGTTGATTGTTAAGATTGTTGTTGAATACAATTCTGTTCCTGGTGGCCCACATTGCCTCAGGAATGTTTGGTTTTGAGCTGCTAGATCTGTTCAAAAATCTGTCTAGTATGGTGATGCCATTGCACTGTAATTGAGGGTTACCATAAATACAAATCAGGACTTTATCTCCAGAGCATTAACCTGGGCCACTGAGTTAATAGAAAAATGACATTGCCACTGCACCACCACCTCTCCTATATTATAGAAAGGCCACAGAGAAGATTTATGAAAATGATACCAGAAATGCATGGATATGCATATCAGAAATGGACTGACAATCTGAGTGTCTTTTATTTTGAATAAACACATAAGGCTGATCTAATAGAGGTATTTAAAATTAAGTAAAGATTTGATAGAGAGGACTCAGAATGAATATTTACTTTTGTGCTGTAAAACATGACTAGAGGTCATCAATATATAATAGCCAGCCGAAAATGCCAATAATAAAATCAGAAGAAATGTCTTGAGCTAAAATGTGGTAAAATACTCAAACATGCTTCCACAGGGTGTGATTGAAGTGAATAGAACAGATGCATTTCAGGGGAAACTTGACACAAAGGGAGAGAACAGGAGGGAATGCCAGGAGCAGCACCAGGCATACATTTAAAAAAATGAGGTGTCAACCTGGTGAAGGTACCAAACAGGATCACTTGCAACCAAACAGTATAAGCAGCAAGTGATAGAGCTAAGCAATCCACAACCAATAGATCAGATCTAAGCTCTGCAGTCCTGCCACATCAGTCATGGATGGTGTGGACAACTAAGCAACTGACTGGAAGAGACACCCGACAAATATCTCCATCCTCTGTGATAGAAAAGCTCAACACATCAGTGCAAAAGATAAGGCTGAAGCATTCACAGCAATCTTCAGCTGGAAATGCTGAGTGGATGATCCATCTTGGCCTCCTCCAGTGGTCCCCAGCATCAAATTTACCCAGTCTTCAGCCAATTCAATTCACTCTATGTGATATCAAGAAATGGTTAGAGGTACTGTATACTGCAAAGGCTATGGGCCCTGACAAGATTCCAGCAATATGACTGAACACTTGTGGTCCAGAACCTACCGCTCCCCTAGCCAAGCTGTTCCTTTGGTGTCTACCAACAATGTGGAAAATTGCCCAGGTATGTCCTGCACACAAAAAGCAGGAGAAATCCTACCTGGCCAATTACCACCCCATCAGTCTACTCTTGATTATCAGTAAAGTGATGGAAAGTGTCATCAACAGCGCTATCAAGCAGCACCAGTGACACCCAGTTTGGGTTCCTCCAGTGTCACTCAACTCCTGACCTCATTACAGCCTTGGTTCAAACATGGGCAAAAGAACTGAATTCCAGAAATGAGATGAGAGTGACGGCCCTTGACATCAAGGCTGCATTCGACTCAGTGTGGCATCAACGAGCCCCAGCACAACTGGAATCAATGAGTATCAGGGGGCAAACACTTCACTGATTGGAATCATACCTGGCAAATACCAAGATAGTCATGTTTGTTAGAGGTCAGTCATCTCAGCTTTCAGGAGATCTCTGCAGGAGATCCTCAGTGTAGTGTCCAAGGTCCAAACATCTTCAGTTGTTTCTCAATGATCTTCCCTCCATCATAAGGTCGGAAGTGGGGATGTTCGCCAATGATTGCACAATGTTCGGCACAATTTGTGATTCCTCAGATACTGAAGCATTCCGTGTTCAAACGCAACAAGACTTGGATAATATCCAGGCTGACAAATGGCATGCAATATTCGCAGCACACAAATACCAGGCAGTGATAATCTCCCATAAGAGACAATCTAACCACCACCAATTGACATTCAATGATGTTAACATTACTGAATCCCCCACAATCAACATTGAGCAGGTTACCTTGACCAGGACCTCAACTAGACTCACCACATAAGCACAGTGACTACAAGAGCAGGTGAGAAGCTAGGAACAAACTGCAGTGAGTAACTCACCTCCTGACTCCCCAAAGCCTGTCCACCATCTACAAGGCATACATCAGGAGTGTGATGTAACACTTCCCATTTGCCTGGATGAGTGCATCTCCAACCACACTCAAAAAGCTTGATGCCA